AAAAACATGAAGTTGCATGTGAATAGGAGATTGACATTTAACATGTCTAGGTATGTCGAAATTATTAAGATACTTAAGCTCATTTTGAAATCTAAGCCATCTTGTATGAATATCTGCAGGAACTGATTCATCCCATGAAAGTTTTTCTAGCCAAAGTTTTTGAAGAAACATTTTAGCTACAATAGTGCAAGGACTTAATAATCCAAGTGGATCAAATATTTGTGCAATGATTGATAAAATGATACGTTTGGTAACTTTTGTTGAAGTTAATGAATTATTAATATTGTACATTAGATGATCTGATTGAGAACACCAGAAAAGACCAAGGGTTTTTGTCTTTTCATTAGACCCTAATTGCAAAATATTTAAATCTAATGAAGAATCCTGAACGTGGATTAAAACCTTTGGATCATTTGAAATCCATTTGCGAAGATCAAAACAACCTTGTTTTAGTATGTCTGAAACTTGTTTACAATATAATGATAATTCATCAATTGAATCTGAGCCAGTAAGTAAATCATCCACATAGAAATCGTTTTGAATAATTGTCGATGCCATTGGATATGAAACTTCATTTTCACTGGCCAACTGAAATAGTGGCCTTATTGCTAAAAAGGGTGCAGCTGATGTACCGTATGTTACAGTATTTAACTGATAAACTGCAAGCGATCGAGTTGGATCAGAACGCCAAAATATTTGCTGAAGACATCGTTGAGAGGGATTTACTAAGATTTGGCGATACATTTTACAAATATCAGCACTTACTACATACCTATGTTCTCTAAATCTAATAAGAATTTGAAAAAGGTCATTTTGAATAGTAGGGCCGACCATTTGAAGATCATTAATGGCACACCCTGTAGAAGAAGGAAATGACCCATCAAAGACTACTCTCAACTTTGTACTTAAAGATTCTTCTTTTAATACACCATGGTGGGGTAAAAAGAACTGAATATGTTCTGATGATGATTCGGTAACCTTAGACATATGACCTAATGATTCATATTCGATCATAAATTTGACATAAGGTTCCCTTAGAGCGCTATTACGTTGTAGTTTACGCTCTAAATTATAGAAACGTTTGAGAGCTTGCTCGCGGGAATCTCCAAGTTTTGTTAGTGAACTTTTCAAAGGAATGTTAACAATGAAACGGCCATTTAAGTCACGTTTATGAGTTGAAACGAAAATTTGTTCACAATCCCTTTCTTCTGCTGAATATGATCTATCCTCGGAACAATCCTCAATTTCCCAAAAACGGGATAGTTGATTTTGAATATCAGTATATCGCCCCCCGCCTTGAAATGACATTTCAATGTTTTTTGAAAGGTTGCAATACATATGAGATTTCTTTTCCATAGTTTTATTTGCTATAGAGTTATTGTATAGGGACCCTGAAATTATCCAACCGAATTTGGTTTTATGAAGGATAGGTAAATTGGGACCCAACTGTATTTGGCCAATGGAAAGTATAGACCAAAATAACTCGGCTCCTATAAGAAGATTGATGGGCTTTGGAGAATAAAATTCTGGATCTGCTAATTGTATATTTGAAGGGATGGATACTAAAGATGTATTTAGCTTCTGATTGGGCAAATAATCACATATGAATGGCATAATGAGACATGAAAGTGACGTTGAAAATGCGTTATGTTTGGAAAATATTTGAATTTGACATTGAGTCTTGATTTTAGATTCTACCTTTGTGATACCAGAAACCGTAATGTTGATATCTTGTTTTAATTCCCAAAGCAGTAGAAAAATTTGCACATATGAAATTAGATTGACTTCCTGAATCGAGAAGTGCACGACAATCATGGCGATTTCCTTTGTTGTCCATAACTTCGCAAACAATTGTGGATAATAAGACTTGCTTTGAATTTGAATTAACACTGCATAATGTTACATTATCTGTATTTTGAGTAGGACTATGCAACAAAGTATTGTGTTTAGCGGAACAAGTTTTACAACCACCGAAATTGCATTGATCAAGTTGATGACCTGAATTCAGACAGTTTATGCATAGTTTTGAAATTTTCACTAATTCTGTTCGCTCGGGTATGCTCATTTTTAAAAATTTGTTACAATTAAATAACCTATGATTATTTGAATGGCATGCCTGACAAACGCGAACTGAAGAATGGAAAGCCTTTTGAGACTTGTTTTTAGATACTGATGTTGAAAAGGAAGAATGTTTGGAAGAATGACTCTGATTTGTTTCCAACTGTTTATCTTCAATTTTTTTTAACATTTGGGATTTTTGTTTCAAAAAAAACAATAAATCTTCTAAGGTTGGTTTATCAGAAAATGATTTGTTCTCCCATTCTCTCGTTGTAGTTGGGTCTAACTTTGTAGTAATGTAATAAATTAATAATGTATCCCAATACTCAGTTGGCTCACCAAGAACCTTTAGTGAACGTAAGTGCATTTTAACATGATCAACAATATGTTTAAGTGCTTTAGAAGATTCTTTCTTGATTGAATCAATGTTATATAAAGCTTTGGCATGTTCATGCAATAATGCCCTTTTATCAGTGTATTGATCACATAATAAATCCCAAGCTATAACAAAATTATCATTTGTAAGTTGAATATTTGCGATAGTCTCAAAAGCTTCACCACTTAGTGCAGATTTTAAATAGTGAAATCTTTGAATATTTGAAATGTTTGAATTATCAATAATTAATGCCTTGAAGCTATCTTGAAATTGAAGCCAATCGCATGGTTCCCCTGAAAATGTGGGAAGATTTATCAATGGCAATTTGATACCTGAGAAATCGTTTTGAACATTATTATTGATGGTTGGTTGACTATGGTTTGAAACTGAATTATTTTCAAAACTAGACTCAGTATTCAAGATCATAAATTTTTGTGCATGTGAAAGAGTTGCATAAAAACTATTTTCGAATTCTTCCCTAGCTGAAAATTCTGTTTGAATGTTAACTGTATCAACCAAAGCATCAATTTGATTTTGTATTTCTGTAAATTCATTTATTAAATTTTCAACTCGATTGTAACGACGACGAAACTCTGTAAAATCTGTTTCTTGAACATTCGATTGACATTTTGAGAGAAAATTTTGAAAAATCGTTAATCGAGTTTTAATGCTACCACGATTAGCATGCAACTTTTTTAGATCCATCTCAGAATAGCCTGAAAATGGACGTATCTAGATACTGAATGCAATTAAAGAATATAAAAATGAAGAATAAGAAAATGCAATTAATTGTGTATGAGACCTTGAAAACCTAATACAAATTAAATCAATATTCTTTGTATAATGACTAAGAGGACTGTGAAGTTTACCAAAAGACCGGCTGCAAATCTTGATGGTGTCCTGTACTTAATGGATGGTCAGAAATTTGATAGCTTTATGTAGAACGCTGTAATGTGATGAATGCTGCTTGCATACGTAGTTCAGCTGAAGATTGCTTGAACGTGGGCTCTGGCGATTTCTGACTGATGAAAATCCAAAATTCCTGATTCACTGACTTATGGTGAACCTGAATTCTTAGAGTTGAATTATGAATACTTTGTAATTAAATGGGACTGTAATCCGCGCTTGGAAGGACCAAATGGATGTGTTTGTGACTGTATTGTTTTTTCTATACTTTTCTTTTAACGTGAAAATGAATCAAAATGTAAATTGAATTTCTGTATATTTTAAAATATATATGACATTACATTTCTTAACTGACAAAAAATTACCTATATCTATGGTAACATGAAATTGAAAGGGCAGAGTAGGCTCCAACACACCCTGTAATTTAATATTTCCTCCGTTAATTTCTCTATTTTTTTCTTATTGTCTTTGATTTGAGTTTGTTAGTCCCCTATAGAAGTTTTGCGAAGTTACTATGATCAGTTTTTTTATATCGACTTTGTGATGACAAGCCTGTCACAATGTATACGCTTATACCTGAGCTCATAAATATGTTTTTATTTTATTTAATTATTCAGGATTTATGTCATTCTAACGTTATTTGTTTAAGGAAAAATAAATAATATGTAATTCAGAGCAAATATTAATATTTTCATATTCCCACTGTAAAGTAGAATACACAGCATCAATAATTTTTTTGGTGATTTTTGAATCACCCTGTATCAAATGTTTTCTACAAAAAGCAATATTAATTAATGTTATCAGAATACTGTTACAGCAAAAAATCCTTAATATATTAAGAAAATTACATTTTAATACGTTTTAAAAAATGGCCATTTTTCAAATTCAACACCCTGTATGTTGAAAACTGGCCATAGGATTGAGTTGTGTCCATGGACACTATTGTTCAGGAAGTCGATATCTTCAACATACCAAAAATTCAGGCATATTAACCGGAACCCATTTCTCCATAAGCCGGCTGCCTGGTCCTTTGTAAAAAAAGGGAAAAATGTTTCTTTCGTTAAAGTGTAAACATATTCGGTGGAAGAACTAGATAGGGAACCCAAAAGGACGGACAATAGAAGACAGGTTCGCCTATTTCTTCGTTCAACTACTGGTACGTTTTCTTGAATCTAAATTTCACGTAATTTTTTACACTTAATATGCCAAGAAAAAAGTCTTGACATTTTTGTATTTATTAGATAATGATGATTTTGTTATTGGAAGTTTATTTTATCTGATTAAAGATGGGAAGAAAAAAGAAGTCTGATAAATTTTACCAGGTAAATAACGCAGGTGATAAAAACGAGGAAATCACTAATGAACAAAGCTACGAATACGAGACAGGAATTATCTATATGCACAAATGTAAAGGTTGTAGGTATGCCACTGCAATCACTTATCGTTGATTTGTTTTCAACAGACTGGCAGGTTTTAGTGTTTTTATTTGACTACATGTCTTAAAGACATCGAAATGAATAAAAATAATGAACGGTATTTCGGTATTGTGTATCTCATCTTTATATTAAATAATAAAACAGAAAAGTAATCGTTTGCTTTGTCTCTTTAGTTTTGAGAATACTCAGTAAATTTTCTAATAAATTAATTCAATATTACTTACCCTTTGTAAGACGTCCTCTTCTTTAGGCACCACTAAAAGATGGAGATATTCTGGACTGTTGACAATCAGTTGAACAACTTGCGAATAAGGTTTATCTTTGACTGCGATACCATTGACGGCCACCAATCGATCTCCTTTTTGCAAACCAGCTTGTCTGGCGGGACTTCTCTCTTTGACGTGCTTTACGAAGATGGTGTCCATTGGAGCAAGCAAAGCACCCACAGCAGCATGTCTACCGTCGTGATGCTCCTAAGAAATATAAAAAAAATGGTAAAATAACTTGTTCTAGATTATGGTCGGAACATTAAGTTGGAATTCGGGGCACACTTATACAGTGTGTCTACATAAGTTGGAACCATATGGAAAAAATGTTACTATTGATTTTAGGAAAAAATGTTATTCCTGATAAAAAGTCCTGCATGACCCAAGACTTAAAATACAGTCATCAGATATCAAATTTTTCAAGCCGTATACGAGGTTTGTCAAAAAATATGAATTTTGCTCAAGAGTAAAGTACGTTTATTTTTGACAAACTCGAACATTTTCATTAAGAAAATTTGATTAGAATTGAAAATTACATTTAAATATGCAATTATACCGATCTATCTGAAAAATCAGATTTTCTTATTTTTTATAAACTTTTCTACACATTGATTGTAAATATCTGAAAACGTTATAAATTACGTTAGCTTTTCAAACATTCTCTCTCTTCTCTACTATAAACATGATACACTTTCCTTTTCTTGATGTTTGTGAAGAATTTAGCAATTTTCTTAATGAAAATATTTTTGGTAATCGGACAAGTCAGTGCTGGTCGAAACAAGACAGAGAAGGGCTTAAGGGATTTGAGCATTACCGAACGGTCTAAAATGGCTCGCATGACAATAATACCTGGGACAATGTTCCAAAACAAGAATATGAGAAAACTCTCATAGGAAGATAATGTCCAAAAAGACCTACTCTCAATGAATTGGAAGAAAGTACTTTGAAACAAATTGTTTTCTTTCCTGGGCACGTCTAACCTAGTCTCCAATAACACTGAAACCTAACTGCTTAATATATTTGACCCATGTTAATTCATAGTACTCACCCTGGCACTTTAGTCCCTTGTACACGATTGTACAAGTCCTTGTTCTATAGGTTCTTGGATCAAGCTGTGGTTGTTCAAAACCTATCTTTTGCTATCCATTGTTTGGCAGTAGCATAGTATGTGTTTAGCTATTTCTGGTTCCTTGTGACAGAGTCGACACAAAAGGTTTTCAACTGGTTTCTATTCATAGAAAGTAGTTTTCCTGTTCTTTTGAACATATTTTTACTATACAGGTTTCCCTATTGTGCTTGTTTTGGGACATTCTCGCTAGTTGTGTTTTCTCCGAACCCAGTCTTGTATAAAACCTCGAACTGTACTTTTCTCATTACCTTCCATCCCTTAATGACCTTGCACCTAAACTACTTTAACTCTATTTTGATCTGCCAATGTTCCCAGTCCTTCGATGAAATCCCATACCACTCTTGACGTCACTTTCTGACTCGATATGGCTTTAAGGACCGACTCGCTGTCAGACATTATTTGAATCTGCTTATTTTAAATATATTCGGATTTGCTTATGTTTGATAGCTCTCCTATTGTTTGTTCTTGAACATTGCAAGATTGCAGGAAACTTGGCTTGAAATATTAAAGCATGTCTTCCTACTGCATAGCTAACGTTGGTGTTAGGGTTCCTGGAAAGTACTCTCGCCACAGTGCCTCCCGCATCCTTTGACCCGTCTGTGTACTAGGTTTGTTTCTGTCGTTGGGCACTGGGTCACCTAACCAGTGATCTCCGTTCTGTTTATTATTCAAATCTCGAGTAGAGTTTTAAAGGAGTAACATTTGGTTATGAGATATGTTCTCATCTCTAGCACGTCCCTTATCACTAAGTTATTCCCTAATCTTCAAGCACTTAATCTTGCCTTCTCCTGTATCACAAGTTGAAGAAGAGGCAAGCCTATTGTGCTTCTATTGCTGCTATGGGGGTTTTTCTCATTGCCCCCGTTATTCTAAGCCAGGCGAGTCTCTGTATCTTGCATATAGCGTCTTCGATCCCACTGCCCTGCCTGCGTGGAGTGCACATAAAAGATGAGCGATATATCGATACCGGTTACATTTCAAATTGAAAAGTAACTGGTATTGACATATCTCCCACCTTTCGTATGCACTCAGTGCAAGCCGTGCACTAGATTCGAAGACGCTATTAGTCTCGTTATTGCCGCTCTTTGTTGTGTCAATGGCCACTACACCAAAGCTCCGTATGTTATTATCGGTCTTATCAACATATTTTATTTCCAATATACCATACCTGGTTTCAATCCCCATTTGTGTCCAAAAATATTGCATCCCTAGTGATGTTTCCGCTTTCCTTGTTTCCAAATGTTCCGGGTAAGTTTCGAATCAATTGTAACCTCGAGATACTTCAGTTGGACGTAACAGAATGGGTTAAACACAATGAGCCAATAGACTTGCAGTGTTATTGGAAACCAATTTAGACAAGTACAACAAAACAATGATATTGAAGTAGTAAAGCAGTATGCATTATAATGTGTACCAATATTGAAAGTATTACTTAAAATTAGTAATTAGAAATATTTTGTATAAAGCGCCTGGTAAAAAAACTTTTTGAGGCAAATTCTGGCCTTCCAAAATGTTGGCACCTATTCGCCGGCAAGTCAAACGAAACAACTGTAAAACCTTCATATCTATACAAAAACTTCGCTTTTTGTTTATGAATCTTAATTCATAATTTTCATATTTACGTCACGGTATAGGTTTTTTTTTAATTTCTCTGACAAGTTATTTCTTACATAAAATTTATAGTTCGCTTTTATTTTTTTTGCCGTTGTGGCGTCATAGTTTATACCTTTCTATTGCCAACTACTATAACAATTTTTATGGGAAAATTTATTTTTAAACTTCCAATATACCTTTGTTTAATTCATGTGCATATTCAAGGAACCATGTATTTCTAAACGTATAAAGGTTTTGTGCGTCGGTTGTAAAATTGATATCTAAAAAGTTTCGTTGCCTATATAAGAAATCATTCACATCTTTGATTATTTGAATTGGTTAACATGAAATTATACTAAATGTGAATTGTCTAAAATTCGTTTTTTTTTTAATTTTGTGACTTACCGCAATGGAATCTGGAGGGTAGACAATAAAATGTCGAAGGGTAAAACCAAAACTGTCGCCATATCTTCTGATGTATAAACTCCTTGGCCCTCTACTGCCCCTTGGCACGGGAACTATCCCGGTTGAATTCTGAAACAAGATTAAAATATATATAACACATGATTTAAATTGTTTGCGAAAGATTATGAAAGATAGGCATATTGTTTACAAACTACGTAATCTTAAGTGATTTTTAATATTGACGAGTGTGGAAAGTGACATTTTTCACACGAGTGGGAAATATTGTCGCACGAGGCACAAGCCGAGTGAGACTATCACACGAGTGTGGAAAATCACTTTTCACACAAGTGATGTACAATATTTTTCCTACGACCACAAAATAATTTCATCAAAAAATGTAAAACCAGGTTATTATAATAATTAAGATGTATTTAAAAAAATAATCAACAATAATTGTATTTATTCAATTTTCATATTTTTCGAAACAAAAAAAAATCTGCAACCACCAAGTTTTGAACGCGGGCCCGCGGACCCGTCGTGTAAACCAAAGTTCAAATTGCAACTACCCTACAACCTGAGCTAATGGGTCTTATTTCAAATGCATTTTTAATTCGATTTTAAGTTTAAACAAAATAAAAAGCAAAAATAATGAGATATATGTAGTTATTTTAAAATTATTTTATTAATTGTTAAAAATAAATATCTAGGATCTAAGTTAATCGTCAATTTTAATAATTTAATCATCATATCGATTTTACTGTTAATATGGACATTATATAAATCAAAATAGAAATGATGATGAAGTGAAAAAAAAAATAAAATCAGGAAATTAGGCTAAGGAGATTTAATCAAAATGTGAATGATCCCAGTTTTTGTTTTATTTGCTTTACTGATTTTGAAAAGGCTTTGCGGATGGTATTTTTCGTCAAAATTAAAAACATTGTGATTCCATGTACCTAAATACATACAATAATAAAGATTAATATTAGATACAAATTAAGTAAATTACACTGCGAGTGCGAAAAAGTCACTTTTCCATGAGTAATGAACATTATGTTTTCTCTGACAAGATTTCATAAAAAAGTAAAATCAGAAAATTTGGATAAGGAGGTGCAATGCAGATGTGACTGGTTCTAGATTTGGTTATTTGCCTCACTGATTTTAAATCGCTGTTGCTAGGTACACGCTAAAGTGTACACAAATCAAAAAATTATATACACGCGAAACGTCATATTGCTGTGGTGGGAGGTGTTTGTGTGAATGCGTCTTGTTAGTTTTCATTTACGCCGTGACTAGCACAGTAGTATTTTATAAACCTTAGAAGCAAATTTAACATACATGAACAAATAATAATAATGTCGTGACAACAAGAAAACGAAGCAACGACTTCAATCCATACCTAGCTACGACTGGCGTAAACACCAACGGCCTGCACACAGCTCACCTACTCTGTCAAGACGTTTCGCGTGTATATAAATTTTTGAATTGCGTACAAATTAGCGTGTACCTAAACACTGTGATTTTAAATACATAAAGAACGATAATCGTATTTATTTAATTTTCATATTTTTCAAAACAAAAAAAAGTTGTATCATCTACCAGGATTCCAACGCAGGCCCGCCATCCGCCTCTTGAAAGGCAAGTTAATTACGTTACTACACAAACCACTGAGCTAACACGTCTTGTGTCAAATGAGTTATTTAATCGATTAAGTATTTAACCAGAATAAAAAGCAAGATAATGTTATTTTAAAATTATATTAATAATTGTTAAAAATAAATATCTTGGACCTAAGTTTAAACATCAATTTTAATATCATATCGATTTTACTATTAATATGGACATTATATAAATCAAAATATAAATGATGCGTTTTACATTATGTGACAGCTGATGCGGAAATGTAAAACGAGGTTTATATTATAATAAATAAAATGAATTTAAAAAAACAATCAATAATAATCGTATTTATTTAATTTTCATATATTCTAAACAAAAAAAAACTAAAAAACAAAAAACAAATAAAAAAACAAAAAAAAAAAAATTCGGCACCGGCAAGGATTTGAACGCGGTCGCTAGCCAGGTCTCAAATGGTAAAGTTGATAAAGTTTGAATGATCTAATCGGTTATGTGTTTAACCAGAATAAAAAGCAAACATAACTTAGTTATTTTAAAATTATTTTAATAATAATTGTTAAAGATAAATATCTAGGATCTAATTTACAACAATTTCAATAATTTAACAATCATATCCATTTTAGTATTAATATGGACATTACATAGATCAAAATAGAAATGATGCGTTTGACATTTTGTGACAGCTGATGCGGAAAGTAGCATATTCGCACACGGGTGGAAAGTAAATTCTTATTCATACGCGTGTGATATAGGGTACTTTCCATAGTGTGATATGTGTCACTTTCCTAAGTGGTCGTAGGACAAATTTTTATCAGTATTGATATTTTCGATGAGTAGAAAAAATGAGATTCTATTCAAGAGATGGACTCTTTGTTTTTGGAATAATTAGAGCTAGAGAAACTTAATCGTTTTAAAGTACTTTTTTAAATCGCAATTTATACATATGGAAGAATCTCAATTTTTAAAAAATAGTTACGACGATTTTGTCTGCGCATCATGTTGTTAGGGGAGGGGGGAGATTAAAGAGGGGGGGAGATAGAATCGTACACTGTTCATTGTGTTGTCACGCCAGAATATGCAAACTGCAAAAATAGGATTTTTCGCTATTTTTTCAAATTTCTTTGAGCATTCTCTTTCAGAATACTGACAAACAGAACAGACAAGGACCGTATAACAGACCATTGACCTACTAACGGCCTGTTTGGAGAAGGACCTTCTAATTACCACGGAGAGAGCAACGCTGTATCTAAATAACGATAGTATGACATCCTTGCAATTCAAATGATCTCGATCTTAAGGCAACCTGCAGAGAATACAGCAGGGGGGATGGTGGAGTCTAGCAGGATTCGATCCAGTATATTATACAGAATGCCCAGGATGGGAACCTTCTCGACTTGGGCTCAAATTCTGTGTGTGGCTTCAGCAATTGCTCGGAGGTGTGTGGGGTTCATTGTCATTGACATTATTAATGCAGGGTCCGAGAACTGTCAATATTTAACCAGAATAAAAAGCAAGATAATGTTATTTTAAAATTATATTAATAATTGTTAAAAATAAATATCTTGGACCTAAGTTTAAACATCAATTTTAATATCATATCGATTTTACTATTAATATGGACATTATATAAATCAAAATATAAATGATGCGTTTTACATTATGTGACAGCTGATGCGGAAATGTAAAACGAGGTTTATATTATAATAAATAAAATGAATTTAAAAAAACAATCAATAATAATCGTATTTATTTAATTTTCATATATTCTAAACAAAAAAAAACTAAAAAACAAAAAACAAATAAAAAAACAAAAAAAAAAAAATTCGGCACCGGCAAGGATTTGAACGCGGTCGCTAGCCAGGTCTCAAATGGTAAAGTTGATAAAGTTTGAATGATCTAATCGGTTATGTGTTTAACCAGAATAAAAAGCAAACATAACTTAGTTATTTTAAAATTATTTTAATAATAATTGTTAAAGATAAATATCTAGGATCTAATTTACAACAATTTCAATAATTTAACAATCATATCCATTTTAGTATTAATATGGACATTACATAGATCAAAATAGAAATGATGCGTTTGACATTTTGTGACAGCTGATGCGGAAAGTAGCATATTCGCACACGGGTGGAAAGTAAATTCTTATTCATACGCGTGTGATATAGGGTACTTTCCATAGTGTGATATGTGTCACTTTCCTAAGTGGTCGTAGGACAAATTTTTATCAGTATTGATATTTTCGATGAGTAGAAAAAATGAGATTCTATTCAAGAGATGGACTCTTTGTTTTTGGAATAATTAGAGCTAGAGAAACTTAATCGTTTTAAAGTACTTTTTTAAATCGCAATTTATACATATGGAAGAATCTCAATTTTTAAAAAATAGTTACGACGATTTTGTCTGCGCATCATGTTGTTAGGGGAGGGGGGAGATTAAAGAGGGGGGGAGATAGAATCGTACACTGTTCATTGTGTTGTCACGCCAGAATATGCAAACTGCAAAAATAGGATTTTTCGCTATTTTTTCAAATTTCTTTGAGCATTCTCTTTCAGAATACTGACAAACAGAACAGACAAGGACCGTATAACAGACCATTGACCTACTAACGGCCTGTTTGGAGAAGGACCTTCTAATTACCACGGAGAGAGCAACGCTGTATCTAAATAACGATAGTATGACATCCTTGCAATTCAAATGATCTCGATCTTAAGGCAACCTGCAGAGAATACAGCAGGGGGGATGGTGGAGTCTAGCAGGATTCGATCCAGTATATTATACAGAATGCCCAGGATGGGAACCTTCTCGACTTGGGCTCAAATTCTGTGTGTGGCTTCAGCAATTGCTCGGAGGTGTGTGGGGTTCATTGTCATTGACATTATTAATGCAGGGTCCGAGAACTGTCAAGAACATCGAGGTAGAATAAAGTAGAGACGATATAAACACTATTTTGCAATATGACAACTGGACGCACTTCAAATGACGAAAAAGTGTAATGAAAATGGCGACTTGAGTCATACTTCATAGTCGTACTTTAATTTATTTGATGTCAATAATTTTATATTTGAAGAATGACGGAATGAAAATAATTTTATATAATTTATATGAGACTATTTAAAAAAAAATGGCATTTATTCTCACCAAAACTGACACTATCTCGAGTTTGACTTTATTCTATCGATTCTATCTGAATGGTCAAGAAGATTACAATAAGAAGAAAACAATTGAATCATCACTCAGCGGAATCAATCGTTAGCCATCTCTGGCACTTGGGTTAGTGGCGTGTTGTTAATATTATACTGGGTGACTAAGTTGATACTTTTTTACTTTCCTCCACCTTTTAAAAAGCCTTTTAGTTCGTGTAATCGGACCGTTTCAAAAGCAGCTAATCATTATCGTTCAATAACGGAGAACGTGACGAAGAACATCGGGCGGACGCGAAGTGGTGGATTCGGAATTAAAAAAATCTAAATCCGGGTCTGGATTTGTGT